AGTTATTTTTTGAGGAAAAAGGGAGAATTAATAAATCGCACGAGAGTATGGGTTTGCATTTTTAAATAGCCTTTTAATTTCATCTCCTTTCCACACCAAATCTTTTATAGACAAGCCCAATCCACAGTATTTTTAAGAGTATATTTTGAAAATATCCTACTACGCCAATGCATCCCTAAAGTGTGGAAAATGGTTTTCTGGTAAAATCATGATGGTCCATCTCAGGTTCTGTGTCCCCTTGAAAGCCTGACTTTGGTCCCTCGGTATGTTTTCCCCAAACTTCAAATGTCTCTCTCCCCACCTGAGTTTCTTCACTGTCTCCACTTTCCTCATGTAAATACAGACAAACATCCAGCTCGCTTTTGTAGGAACCGACTGCTCGATTTAGCGTTGTGGAGACATACTGTCAGAAGGCTGGGATGCGAGTGGTGTCTAAAATGTAATGACAACACGAGTTTGCTTATTTAGATCCTGCAGAAATGGTGGAGCAAATGGCGCTTTGTTTCTTTCTTTCCCAGCCATGTGTTTGGTGTGATGTTGGCCCAGTCTCTGCAAGGCTGGCAATCCACAGAGGGGGCGGACTGCCCCATGCAATGTGTCCTCACTCTCCAGTGATTCCTCACCCCTTCACTTCCCCTCCATTTCATATTCTTCTTCTCATCTGGCCTTCCGTAAACCTCCAGGGCCAAAGAGCTACCAGTGACACCAATTCTTGAGCAGGTATTGTGACAGAGACAAGATCCCAGAAATAAAATTGTTGAAATGGTTGTTCTCAATGATAGCAAGTATTACAAACCATTCATACAGTGCTTCCTGTTTTCCTTCTGTGCTTTCTCCTTTAAAGGTGACTTTTCCCCATTTTTTCTCATTCTGTTTAAAATGAGAAACAGAATGAGAAAAGAGATTTTCTCATTTCTGAGAAATGAGACAGTCTTCTCTGCCAGAGAAGACTCTCTTGATTTTGCAGACAACGGAGACCCTGCTTAGTGCATTTGAATATATTACTTGGAATCACCAAGGCAAGAGAAGGAACCAATGTAGAGTGAGGAGCTCCTAGCTCTAGCTTTTCTGATGCTTTCCACTGTCCCAGACTGTCCCAAATCATGAATTAAAACATAGATAAATTGTTCTCACTTATGCTAGATCCTTCTCTTCTGCTTTAAGCATAAGATGCATGTCTACAAATAATACACACTTTGGGACTTAGAATGGTTAGGTGGACAAATCTTAATTCCCAATGACCAGGGTTAATTTGATTAGAGGCCTGGTCTATTCTCAGTTTAGGTGACATAGAGAAGACAGAAGGGACTATGTATTGGCTGGAGAAAAGAGGTCTTTATTCTTTTCTGATCTGAAAATTTCCCATTATTATTGCTATTAGGGGTAGAACAAAAGTTCAGCCGTGTTCTTTAAAGGCCACTATTGGGGCGCCTGGGTGGCTCGTCGGTTAAGCGGCCGACTTCAGCTCAGGTCATGATTTCGCGGTCCGTGAGTTCGAGCCCCGCGTCGGGCTCTGTGCTGACATCTCAGAGCCTGGAGCCTGTTTCGGATTCTGTGTCTCCCTTTCTCTCTGACCCTCCCCCGTTCATGCTCTGTCTCTCTCTGTCTCAAAAATAAATAAACGTTAAAAAAATTTAAAAAAATAAATAAATAAGGGCCACTATTGCAATGAGCAGGGTCCATGACAAGAAGTTTCCTGAAGGCTCTCCCCTGAACCTATCCTTTGACACAGATTGTTTTTGATGGGTTTACTAATTCCCAAAGTGGAAACACTGACCCCACACAGTGAGATACAAGGAAGGTACAGTTCAGAAGAGGAAATGGCCGGTGGAAATGGCAGCTGTTTTCACGAGGCCAGTGAACTTTGGAAGCAAACTCTCCCTGAGGCGAGCACCTTGTGAAAGGGGAGACTGCAAAGGCCTGGGGGAGACACAGCAGATCACTTACCTGGGTGTTTGTATAGCCGGGTCCCCATTTTAGTGGGTTGAGTGTAACCTTGGGTAAAATTCTCCTAAACTTCCTCATAAGTTTTATTCTGTCTTTCTGTCTTTCTTTCTTTCTTTCTTTCTTTCTTTCTTTCTTTCTTCTTTCTCTTTCTTTCCTTCATTGCTCAATAGTCTCTGAGATACTTGAGGTCTAAGACTCAATTTCACTGCACTCAATCCCTAGTGCCTATCCAAGGTCAAACATAAAGTATATCTTTATAAATATTTATTGGACTGAATTAAATTGCAATGATTAGGTCACTTCTGTTTCTACTTAGGGGAAACATAGGGTTAGGGGCACAAAGCTCAAACATGTCATTGGTATATATTAAAAAAAAAATCCTAAGACGGGCACCTGGGTGGCTTAGTTGGTTGAGCATCCGACTTCAGCTCAGGTCACGATTTCATGGTTTGTGAGTGTGGCCCTGTGTTGGGCTCTGTGCTGACAGCTCAGAGCCTAGAGCCTGCTTCAGATTCTGTGTCTCCCTCTCTCTCTCTGCTTCTCCCCCTCTCATATTCTGTCTGTCTCTTTCTCTCTCAAAAAATAAACATTAAAATTGTTTTTAAATCTTAAGAACCTAATAAAAATGGTAACACGACTTCATACATGTTATATGTTTAAAGACTACGTAAATGCTATAATAAACATGGTATTTTATCTTTAGAAAATCTTCAATTTGCTTGTGGAAGTGGGTGTCAGAAGGGTTGTGAGCTATTAGAGAGTAGTGGAGGAGTGTTATCTGAAATTGGAAGATGGTCGTAACTGCAGATGCAGACAGGTGTGGCTCATAGCATAGCTGTGAAGTCCGATATTGTATGGTCTTTCACGTGGGTGTGTGTACAGGCATGGTGTATTTCTGTGGGCTTCAGTTCCACTGATTCCAGTTTTCTGTATTCACCTAGTGTTTCCTGATGATGAAATAGGCATAAGCAAGTGTGAGATTTGCATTATATTCAAATTGTCTCCTACTACATAAATAGTGTAACCGATCTGCGTTTCCATACAAATGTATTGGAAGTGTATATGCATCTCCCCTCACCTGCATTTTATGCCTGGAATAAAGTAGCCGTGAGCTCTGCTTTCTATTAGCAGAATGACCATAACTGCAGAGGTGTCCTTGCTGTGATTTTTATGTCGTTCCTCTTTAGTGAGGATTTGACTATCTTTTGTGTTTGTCAAATACCTCAAAAAATTTTTCAAACATTTGTGTTGGGGTAAAAAAAAAAAAAAAAAAAAAAAAAACAACCCTCAAAATACACTTAGCCAGTGGATTTTTTAACACATTTAACAAACAAAAATTTAATCCTTATGTTTCTCATTAATGTTCCTGTGGTGAGATGAAATAGTCCTCTCTATGAATTTTCTGGATAAAGAAGCAGCCCCATATCCAATGCACATTTAAAAATTTTAAAAAGAAATCAGACCAACTTTTCTTGAAAGCCCTTAATACATCAAGTTTACCTTTAATCTGAATGACATAAAATCATGGTTGAATGAGGTATGTCTACATTTCATTATGTCATTTTGCAATGTCCTGCAAAATCAACTGTGCACAAAATGAAAAATTGGAAAATCATTTGGTCCTGTTGTGTGAACTAGTCCCTCCCTTGCTTCCTTCCTTCTTTCCTTCCTTCCTTCTTTCCTCCCTCCCTACTTCCCTCCCTCCCTTCCTTCACCATCCATTTCTTTCAACAAACCTTTACTGAAGGCCTATTATGTATCAGATTATTTGCAAAGTCCCACAAAGAGTGTACCATTTGGTGTAAGGTGCAAACAAATAAATGAATTATTACAGAACATTTACATGACCAGTTTGCTATGTGAAGAGCAGAATTGTCTGCATGAGATCACATGGTTCATTTGGAGGAACATGTCTGTGTTGTCAAGACCACATCTTTGCCCATGACCCCACCCTGTTCTACATTTGAACAGCATCAAAGAAGCCTTAGAAAGCATACCTGTCTGTGCTGTTTTGAAGGGACACATGCACCCTCATGTTTATAGCAGCACTATCAACAATAGCCAAAGTATGGAAAGAGCCCTTGGTGGATGAATGGATAAAGAAGATGTGGTATACACTCACACACACACACACACACACACACACACACACACACACACACACATGATGGAGTATTACTCAGCAATCAAAAAGAATGAAATCTTGCCATTTGCAACTACGTGGATGGAACTGGAGGGTATTATGCTGAGTGAAATTAGTCAGTCAGAAAAAGACAAATATCATATATCTTTATTCATATGAGGACTTTAAGAGACAAAACATAAAGGGAAGGGAAACAAAAATAATATAAAAACAGGGAGGGGGACAAACTCATAAATACGGAGAACAAACTGAGGGTTATTGGAGGGGTTGTGGGAAGGGGGATGGGCTAAATGGGGAAAGGGCACTAAGGAATCTACTCCTGAAATCATTGTTTCACTTATATGCTAACTAATTTGGATGTAAATTTTTAAAAATGAAAAATAAAATTAAAAAAAAAGGAAAAAAAAAGCAAGCATACCTGTCACATTTGGGAAGGCTGGAGAAGCCGTTATTGAAGTGAATAGCAGATTCAAGATTGTACACAATTGGGGACTATTCTCGCTTACTTTACGCAATGAATTATTACAATTAGCCATTCATTTTCCAAAGATTTTCACACAACTGGGAGTGAGACATTTTAAATCATTCTGTCTAGATACAACTATGGCAGGATCCCTTAGGGATTGAAGATGGGAAAATAGGTAAACAATCGTATCCCCCCTTCAACAGTCTTCCTCCTTCTAGAATAAGCTCAATAGCCATAACTTGAGGCTTTTCTCAAGTGAGTGATTAAAGGAATGGGTGATTGTTAGACTCCTGAGTGAGACAAATCAGTGAGATTTCTGGCCACACCAGTTTCTAGTGTTGTGACCTTGGACAAACTATTTAACATCTCTGAATATCAGTGTCTCCAACTGTAAAGGAATTTATACCAGTCTTTCAGGATTGTGAGGAATGAATGAAATAGCCCATGGAAACAATTGGTACTGGCCTTGTTCAGAGCATTGGTTAATTAATAATGGGGTTAATGCCATGATTCTTCCCTTTATGGGCTCTCTCTTGCTAATACAATTTGCTTTCTTTCTTTCCTATCATTATAGACAATTGTGATGACCCATTAGCATCCCTGCTCTCTCCAATGGCTTTTTCCAGTTCTTCAGACCTCGCTGGTACTCACAGCCCAGCTCAACTCAACCGAAGAGTTGGTGAGTAAGATGACTAAAACTCAAAAGGCAAATGCTAAATAAGCATGCTGTGGGGAAATGGAATAAAAGGACATTCCTATTCACTGGGATCATGTCCAAGAGCAGTGTTGAGAAGAAGAAAGGGAAAGGGGGTTACAATGGAATTAAGCCATGTTTCCTAGTGCATAATGGATATTCAAAGTATGCTTGTTCTTGCCTCCCCAACTCACACTATTTTTCTCTGATTATCATGAGAGGCCTTTGTAAAAATAAGTTTTTAAAAAAATGCTTTATTTTTATATTTCATGTCTCTAACATGAATGGCTACCAACATACATTATTATTGTAGCATGTACACAATAAATGTGTGAAATCTACTAAGATTTTTCCTTCAAGAACTTAAATTTTAACAACAAAAAATGTTGCTAATTTTAAAAATATATAGTACTATGAAGTAAAAGTAAGAAAATACAATACAGAAAAGTAAGTAAGTAATAAAGTAAGTAAGAAAATGCAAGGCAAACCTACCAACTAGTACTTGTGGTTAAATGTTGGGTGGGTATCTTTACAATGTGTGATGGAAGTAAGAGCAGACACCCTTAACTGATCTCTTATGTGACGTGTCTTTAACAAATTATAATGTTGGCTATTCTAGATAGATCTGTTTTTAGTCAGAGTTGGATGTTGACTTTTATAATGTGTATTTGAATTTGTTAATTTTTAAAAATTATTTAACATCTGGTTATCTTTGTATATTTACATATCTAGTGAATATTATAAACGTCTTCAAGTTGAGAAAAATAATTTATATGCAACTTCAAGAGGTACAGTGATCTGTTAGAGTTCATATTAATTATTCTTGACTGTATCTTCTCATCGATAATATGAGGCCTATCATATTAGTAAGCTTTCTAGTGTTGGCCCATCTATACATTCTGGAACAGATTTTAATTGCTCATTGTGTTATGGATATCATTTTTAGGTGTATTTATTTATATATGAGAGAGGGCGACAGAGAGAGAGTGTGTGGGAGGGGCAGAGAGAGAGGGAGAGAGAGAATCCCAAGCAGGCTCCTCACTGTGAGCACGGAGCCTGATATAGGGCTCGAACTCACAAACCATGAGATCATGATCTGAGGCAAAACCAATAGTCAGGTGCTTAAACAACTGAGCCACCCAGGAGCCCCAAGGGTATCATTTTTATAAGTGCAGGATGATTTAACTGGTTGACATTTTAATTTATAGTTTTTAATCTTCATTAATGGTGAGAGTGCTGTGTAATTTTTGTTTGTGTATTTGATGTTTGTTTCGTACTACGTTTCACAAGTATGCTGTTATAATGGGATCCGTAATTTAAGTTAGCAATTTCTATGGCTTTGTTAAGAAAAGATTTTAAGAATGCTATTCTAAAGAGAAATAGAATGACCAATCAAAAACCCAGCAGGAAAATATTAATAATTGTGTATTAACACTGCCTTTTTGCTGAACACTCTGTGCCAAGAACTTTGTAAAGCATTTCACCTATCAAGGAATTTCGTCTTCGGAAAGCTACCGTAAGATGCGTGTTATTACATTTTAACTTCAGATGGGGTTCCTGGGTCTCAGAAAAGTTGTATAACTTGCTTAAAATCACAAAATTTGGAAGGAGAAATGCTTTGATCAAATCTAAGACATCTGAACCCAAAGTTTTGCTCCTCACCACCACATGAGCAAACTGATTCACTAAGACAGGTTAAAGAGGGCTATGTTAGAAAGAGACTTGGAATCTAATTGGCCAGGGTTCAAGTGCTGCCCACAGCATTTACTTGCAAGCCCTGTGAGTGTCTGAAAATTGCCTATCTGCTCTTGACTTCAGTTCTTTATCTGTAAAGTGGACCAGTAATGCCTGCTTTGACACATGATGCTCAGACTGTGGCAAGCCTTGCATATTAAAAAGATCCTTCTCGATGCAGGGTAGAGAATCTGACCTGAGCAGGGAGGTCCACTTGGCAATTTCAGGAAGAAACCAGAGTTGGAAGATTTTAATTTGTACGCCAACAGGGCATCTGGAGCCAGAGTTCTCCCCAGTTTAACCCAACTGTGAAGTGGCAGAAAGTCATTACTGCCTAGTAGCACCTCTGCAGTTTCCTGGGAACCTGTGAGTCTGGTCACAGGCTGGCTCATCCCCTGGTGGACAATATTGACAGAGCAGATGTCTCTGCTCTGATTTATTGTAATTATTCTGCTCACTGGGAAATCTGGGTGCCGGAGTCCAAGGATAGCACCGGTGTGTTCAGAGAGGACATTGACCTCTCTTTCTTCTTCCAGCTAGAGTCTAAATCAGGAAGGTCATGCAGGGGCAACAGTCTCAGAATGTTGAAATGCACTGGCCTTGTCCTCCAACAAACTCCCAGGCCTAGCAGCCTCCGGTTCACTCACTGGGTCCAACCACTGCCCTCAGGGGGAAGTCAACACAGCCTCAAGGAGAGAGTGGATCACTGGTTCCCATCCAAGAGCTGTGCATTTGAATCACCTAGATAGCTTTAGAAGTAGCAATGCATGAGCTCGTAGTCCAGATACTCTGAATTAATTGTCTGGAGTGGGATCCAAGGGTGGATATTGATAAAATAAGTAAATACAAGCTTTCCAGGAGATTCTAAATTGCAAGACTTGCAACTACTAGGTTGAGTGAATTCATAAATCAAAAATCACTCTATTAATATTTATTGAGCACCTAATATGTGCTAGGCACTCTGTTAGAACCCTGGCACATAGTTGGTAAAAATAATCACAAATCCTATTCATAGTTTACAACGTTAATTTAAATTAGCATATCATTAATAGCTAACATTTGTTAGTGATAATATTGATATTATTACTTTTATATATGTAATATAAATAATATGTATGTGTAAATATACATATATAGTTGGATAGATAGAAAGTCAAATATATACATATGGTTATGTATATATACACAAAGTCACATATTAGAGAAAAGGTGATAAATACAGGGTTGGATATATATAAATATATATATCCATATATTAGGGTATATATACATATATAGCATATGTGTATATAGTATATATATGCACGCATACATAATACTTATACAGAATATATAAATATAGTGTATATTATAATAAAACATATTATATTCATATTAAGCACAGATTTTTTCATGTGAGTTTTCTAAATATAAAATTTTTAAAGTTGAGAAAACTGTAATTTTTTATTTTGATTGGAAATATTAGTATAAAGCAGTGATTTATTTTTCACCTGCTACAAATAGACTTATATGCTGTCTGTCCACCAAAACAGCCTAGAAGTAATTACATATCTCTGTCTAATGAACACCTCTTTCTATATTTCTTCCTTTAAAACTTCCCTTTTATTTTAAATAGGAAAGATATTCAGTATACCCCAAAGTGCAAACTGGTATGCACGGTGTGAAACAGTTATACAGATATACAGATATACATGGAGATTTCAAAGAACATCTTGGTTTTCATTTGAATTCTCCATGTAGTGTTTTAAACAGCAAGTTCCCTGGCAGATGGAAATCATTGCTACTCAGCACTGTCATGATCAGGTTTGGCTCCTCCCTAAGTGGTAGGGTTGGGTGTCTACCATCATACAACTAAATCTCATATCAGCAATCTACTTACTACTTACCAAGAGCCATCACTGTTCTAGGCCTTTAAGGTGCATCACTACTACCCTCTACACAGGTGTTATTATCTTGGTTTCATAGATTTAAAAAAATGCCATGGCACACAGTGGGGAAAAAAAAGAATATTAGAATAAATATGTTTAGGTAGAGACAAAACTAGCTACTATCTTACAGTACAATAAAATTGGGGGGTTGTATCTTCTCTACTGGAAAAATACTTATAAGTTAACATGTAACTTCTCAGTATCTAAGATCTAATAATCAATCAGTGAATAACAAAACCAAATAACAGGCATATTCTAGAGAATTAAAGAATCATTGAGTGGTCCTGTTGAAAACTGCCCAGGATGATATTGAAAAGACATAGCATACTCTTTTTTGATTTCCAAGTTCTGGGTGATGTTTTTTCTTAACATACTCCATTTCTTCATCCCTGCCTTCATTCGTTCATTCACCTATCACAGTATTTCATGAATTCCTTCTACTCTACCCCATTCAGCCTTCTATCCATTTATCAGGAAACGTCCTGGTATGTCACCCAAGATGAAATACAAGCTGTAAAATTCTTGACCTCCATGAGACTATGTCTCCCTCGTATTGAGTGCACTCAACCGTGTTCTTGTAGCTGTTCACTCTTGAGCTATTTCACAGAGGTGAACTTGGCTGCAAGTCCTGGGCACGATTTAAAACTGCTGCCTCCACTGGGATCACACACCTCTGGCGTACATTGAACATAGGTAATGAAGGCCCACTTTACCTCTCATCTGGGCTCAGAACTCAAGCGCACACGGTTTTCTGACCTATACGCAGGAAGAAAGAATGCCCCACTGGTAACTTTGTCACGTTGGAAGCAGGGATCAACTCAAAAGTTGAAAAGAAGACTATAGAAAAGGCGTGCCGATGAGTGTCCTCACGCCCTAAGTAAAGCAAGTGTCATGAGTTCTGACTAGTGACTAGTGACAAACTAATATTTCTGAGAAAAAAACGCAGTCTTGGAAACAGCCTTTGCCCTTAGGTACTGCTGTGGGAGCCACATTCTGGGCAACCTGCAAAACTAACAGGGAGATTGGTTGGCTAATGCCCACCATAATAGCATTCGTATTGTTATCTTATCTAGGGATGGGATTTGCCAAATCGAATTTGTGTTCTCTCCCTCCACAACATCCCTCAGCCCTTTTGTCATCCACCCACAAGGAAATAAAAATTAAAAAAGAAGAGAGACAGAACAAATTACTTTTAAAAAAAAACATGACAAAATATATCAAACTGGGGGTCAGATCGCCATTAACTTAGGTTACCAAGTCAATCTATATAATTGTGGCTTAGGAGGGATCTGACTTTGTCAAATGGGATTTGTTTTGTGGCAA